TAGATATAAATATATGGTTTAAATATTTAGAAAACATTATGGTTTATTTTGAAAAATAGCAGCTCCCACCACAATCTCTTATTTTCCTCAGATAGGAACCATCTACTTTTACCTCTGTAAACTGAATAACTATTGGTCTTTATCTCTCTGTTTCCACAAAACACACTTGATTGTTGTTTTTTAATTTTTTCCGTTTCTGCTTTTCTCTATTGACTTCTCACTCTGGAAGAAAAGGAATTAATCTTTTCTACCTATTCTCCCACCTTTGCCATCTCCCATTAATTCAACATGCTTCAAGAGTAATATTGGTTAGATCAAAATTGAGGGCGTATTATGACTAAGTACAATTTACAGATAAGCTATATAGGAAACATGGTTACTATTTATTTCCTGCATAAATTTTTTGTTGTTGGTGCTGGAATTGTATTCCTAGAGTTAATAACTGTCATATTTTCTTGATTACTTAATTAGATATGTACTTAATAGTTCATCCTGGACTCTTTGACAATTGTCTAATCTTTTTCTGCTACGTGGAGAGGTATCAGGTGTTCTACAGACGCCATCTTCCTGAAGAAACCTCTCTGAAGCCTTCTGACCTGCTCCAGGTTGCCCTTATGCCTGATGGTCCTTTCATCACCATCCTGGAAATCTCCTTGGCCTCATACTTGTTGCCTGGTTTCCATAAAATATCTGGTTTCCTGCATACCATGATTCCTTTCTCAGTTTACTCCTTCTTTTTGGTGGGAATAGTTTGTTTAGAAAGCAGGCATGGGAAGAATACTTTTGGAGAAAATGCAGAAATATGATTTATTCTCCTCTTACACAAATTTGGTAGTTTTGGTTGAATACAGAATTCTACTTTGGAAATAATATTCCCTCAAAATCTTGACGGCATTCTTCTATCGTCTTTTGGCTTGTAGTGTTGCTGTTGAGAAATCCCAAGTAATAGTGTGAATGTGACCTACCCCTTGGTCTCCTCCTCTATGTTCTCCTCTCCTTCAGTGTTCTGAAACTCTGTGATGCTGTGTGAGTCTACCTTAATTCACTGTGGGGTGCACTTGGTGACCCTTCACATTTGGAAACTAATACGCGTCTGTTCTAGGATTATTACACTGCTATTTCTTCAATTTTGCTGCACTTCCTCTTTATGGAATTCTTATAATTCAGATCTTAGGTGTCTTGGATAAGTTCTCTAGTTTTATCTTATCTTTACTATTTTCCATGTTTGAATTTTTGCTCTCGTTTCTCAGTGATTTCCTCAACTTTATGGCACAAACATTTTCACTTCTGCTATCATATTTTCAATTCCCAAGAGTTCTTTTTTTTCTGAATGTTCTTTTAAAACTATAGCTTCCTGCTCACCTTTCACCCTTGTAACATCATTTTAATATTAATCATAGCTTTTCGGTATATAACTTTACTAACACATTTCACATATCACATAATTCATACACTTCAAGTGTAAAATTCAGGGACATTTTAGTAAATTTACCAAGTTGTACAGCAATCACCATAAGTCAGTTTTAGACTATTTCCATCACCCCAATAAGTCCCATCATGTTCATTAATTGTTAATCCCAATTCCTTCCACCTCCCGTTGCTTTAGGTAATCACTAATCTACTTTCTGTCTGTATAGCTACCTTTTATAACATTTTATACACTTGACATCATACAATATGTGGTCTCTTGTGTCTGTCTTATTTCATTTAACATAATGCTTTTGAGGTTCATCCAAGTTGCAGGACATATAAGTAGTTTGTTTCTTTTTATTGCTAAATAGAATTCTGTTGTATGGATATACCACATTTTGTCTATCTGTTCACTAGTTGAACATTTCGATTGTTTCCAATTTTTGGTTAATATGAATAATGCTGCTAAGAACATTCATGTGCAAGTCTCTGTGTGGATATATTTTTATTTCTCTTGGATAAATACTTAGGAGTGGAAGTCTTTATTTTACGTCTTGAAATTTTCTTTTCCCTTCATGTCCTGTTTTTCCTATAACTTATTTTTTCTTCCTGTTTGTTTATTTTGGTATCTATATTTCATGCTATTTCCTGAAATAAGGAATTTTTAGTTGTCTTCTCATATTTAAGAGTAGATGACTAATAAGTTGATTGAAAGTTCTAGGTGAGATTCTTTTTATTGTGAGTTTCATAGTCATCTGGCTGGATCGTTGATCTGGAGAATCTCCCATGCCTGTATGTTTAAGCCTTTCCACTTGACTTGGTCAGATTCCCTAAGGAAGACTCTTCAATCTGCTGCTGAAGAGTAAAGTATACAGAATGTACCTTTTCACTTAGCTCTCTGAATTCAGCATGGTACTATTGCCCTCAATGGCACCCAGTGTCCCCTAGTCCACAGAACATCTGTGTACCCTCGCCATAGAATCAACCGTCAGTCTTTGCCAGTGTGGGGTGAGGGACAGCAGCACAACTGTGTGAACTGTCAGGGAGATTGGGGATCTGACAGCTATCTAAGCAGGAATATGTCAGACTCTTCAATTCTAATTATTGGATGAAATTTCTACCTTCTGAAATCTGGTGTCTTTCTTTACAGTAAGAGAATATTGGCATTTTGGGCAATGATCAATTATTTGAATTCTAACACTTGAATTTTTTTGAACCATATGATATTTGAGAGAGATGGTAAAATGTATGAATCAATTTTTCACTTCATTAGATTGACTGAGCTCTTATTCTGTGTTTTTATATGATCAGGAAAAAAAGAATGTTTTCCTTTTTGCACAAAACCCAACATCTTTAGTGAATTAATATTTAATTGATGTCTTCCTCTTTTTTATTAAATAGAAGATTGTCTTAAGGGATATTCACTTTAACGGTAATTTGCAAAACAAAGCTTGAAGGTAGATACTGTTCATCATGTTATCTTAAAATCTCTTATAAGAAACACACAATATACTCATTCTTTTAATAGTGACCAGGAAAAACAACTCTTTCTCAAGATGAACTTGTGTCCTTTTATGTATCAGACTACAGTTATTATCTAACTCAACAGCTCTATTTTTTTGCTTTATTGGTCAGGAAAATCAAAGAATTCTAGCTCAGTTCATTTTATCAGTAGCAGTCAGTTCATTTTAGATGCAGAGTGATATTAATTCCTCTGCCCCTATTTAATATATTTTGTTGTAAAAGTGTTTGATAGTTCTATTTTTATCTTTCATTATTTAAATTGTCTCATTTTTTCTACAATAGGCAGAACAGAAAATTTAAATAATAATATGTGTGCCAAAAGATGAATATAATTCAATACAGGAAGACATGAGGTATCATCTTTATTTAACCCAAATTCCCTTTATCTTCCTAAGGATGTGTGTTTTTCATATGAGCTAGAGGTTTGGGGATTTACAAACATTTTACTGAGGTGATCTTTATTTGCGACGGGAGGAATTGACCAAAATGTAATGTTAAATGCTCCTTGATGACAATGCTCAATTACCCTTTCCCTACCTACACTATAAACAGCATACAACAAAGTCCCTTAACAATACAAAATGACTGATATGGATATGGACTTGACCAACGGCAGAATTTACAATGTTCAAATACACGAAGCTTATATATAAGAATATGCTAATACTCTGTTGTATGGAAATCTTCTTTGTACTTACTGAGTTCAAATATCAAATGGTTAATTGCTTAGGCATGAAAGCACTTGTCTTCTCCTAATCTTTAATCAAATAACAATTTTTTGAATCCAGTATTCTTAAAATTTTAGGTGTATCTGGACAAACTATCTTACATATTTAACTATCTGGTATGTTTCTCCTTTCAGTCATTCCTGATTTTCTCTGATTTGGTCTTGCTCTTTGTGGTGTGAACCACAGGGACTACAGCCAATGATGAACTCTGATTCAGCAGCAGATATAGCAATAACGCTCCTTTTAGCATTCCTGAAGCTACAATGAAACCGCCAAAAAGCACCTCAAAGAAACGGAACTATTTTCTGTTGGCCTCAATCTCACTAATTTAAATGTCAAACTATAAATTTTAACAAGAAAACAAAAATCTACTCCATGACTCTTTTGCTTCCTATAAAGCTCTTTTCTATACTTGGATTCACTGATTTTATCACAAAGTGGTTTAACGATTACATGGACTACCAAAATGCATGTAACTGATCTGAGCCTCATAGTTGAGGTAATTTTGTATAAGACCGAAAAAAGAACTGGCTAACCAAAATTTCGAATAACTTTGAGGTATCTGAAGAAGAAAAATATTTCAAGAATATAAACCATAACTTATATTAAATAATTTTATAGATATTGCTGGGATAGTGCGTTTATCCAAAATTTTTATTTCATAAAATAGTCTAATTTAAAATATGATGTGTTACTAAGGATATATAAACTCTTTAGAACCACATAATGTGACCAAATCAAAATGTTGATACATTTGAAGCTGCATGCAGTCATCAGAAACCAGTTCCGTATTAACAGAATCTAGTTTGCTTTTAAAATTACTGAGCTTTTCTCAGGGAAGGTCTGGCCTGGCTATTGGAGTATTTTCTTGGCTTCAGAGTAGTCTTCATTCTAGAGTTTGAGAAATGTGAATTTCAGCACTTACTAACTTATCTTTGTTTGCTTTTTTCCAAATGCTAATATACGGAGTTGAGGAATACGTTAGAAATCTAGACTGCTTGCCCAAGAACTTTTCTTATGTGTCAGAAGGTTACTTAGAATTAACTTGTTCCTGATAATCTTCTAGAAATGAAAAATCCTAGATCTACAAAAGGCATTCAGAGTCCAAAATCCACAAACTAGAATAGTCCCTTCGTCTACAATATTTTGTGAAATTCTGACACAGTTTACTAAAGCAAATAATTGATAAGATTTTTGCATCTGAAAAGTGACACTGTGCTCAGACAGCATTCTTTTTCACTTTCTATGACATTTTTCAGAAATCAATTTCAAAGATTAGGCATGGCTGTATTTAATCAGATTAAACATTAAAACTGGAATATTCTGATATTTCCAAACCTCAGATGTAGTAAGTTTCTGAGATTCAGTCCTGTAGATTCCAATGGGCACGTCTCCGGTAGAAGAACACAACTTCTGATACAGTCTGGCGTAAGTTCTGATCCATAAGTCATCCTCAGTGATTTTCATCTGTAACAAGATGAATTACTTACATATTAAATTTTTAAGAAATAAAAGTCTAGTGGTTATTTTTCACATCTTAAAGGTAGAATTTGTTGATATTTTGAAATCTCAAAGTGTCATTTCATAAATGCTTATCCATGTATTAAACTGATTTATTGCATCCCTGGGGTTCACTCAAACTGAAGAAACCAACTGCTCAATTTGTGACAGCATGACATTGTATTAGCTCAATATCAGTAGGCAACAGTCACTGGTAATTGACTGGGAGATGTTGGAAAACATGTGGAGACTTTTAAATGCTGCAATAACTAGACGCTGCTACTGAGATTTAGTGGACAGAGTCTGCTGATGCTAAAAATCTTAAAATGCAAATACCACCACAGCACAAAAAAAAACTGCCCATCCAAAGTACTAATAACACTCATATTGAGAAAGATGTGTAGCAGAAGGAGCACAGGGCTCACAGACAGGAGGCATAAGTACTAGTCCCTCTTTGCTAATCATAAATCTGGATTGTTAGTGTTGGGAGAGAGGGAGAATCCCCCTCTGCCCTTTTCCTTAAGGTTCTTACGGCTGGCCAAATAATCAACAAGACGGGTTAGCAGGAGAAAATAACACCAAGTTTAATAACATGTATACATGGGAGAAACTCAGAAATGAGCAACTTGTCCCTCTGTCTAAGTTGCTTGCTTAAGTATTGTAGCTAAAGGCGAGGAAGGTGTTGGGGGTGGGTAGTGGTCTGGGACTTCAGAGGGCAGGAGGACAATTCTTTTCAGGGTCATCTATAGATAATGTGGTCAGGGAGAGAGAGAGTTTTTTTGATAAAAGAGGCTTGGTGCCCCTCCCATTGTAACATCTATTTTACATTATCATTACAGCCATCATGATAGAAGATCTGTTCCAGGAAGAAGCCACCATGTCAAATTCTTTAGGCAGTTAGTGGGGGAGGTTAAATGTCCCTCAGGGGAAACAATCAAGGTAAAGAGATATATTTCAGGGTGGCCAAATCTTGATCTCCCACATTAGCAAGTTGCTTCATTAAATACATTTGGACTTAGTATACTCATTTATTAAACAAAGGGGTTAAACTGCACGATCACTGTTTTCCTTTGTGGGAGATCAAGATTTGGCAACCCTGAAATATATCTCTTTACCTTGATTGTTTTCTCTGATGGACATTTGACCTCCCCCACTAACTGCCTAAAGAATTTGACATAGTAACTCCTTCCTGGAACAGATCTTCTATCTATGGCTGTAATATAATATAAAATAGATGTTACAACAGGAAAGGCACCAACAAGCCTATCTTATCAGAAATTCTGTCTCTTTGGCCACATTCTCTGGATGGCCCTGCGAGGAGTTGCCAGACAAACATTTACATTTATAAGGGAAATCTCCATTTGTAAAGGTATCTCCCTCTCTGTATTGGGAAGAGGCGGGATGACCTCATTTCTAGAAACTTATCAATGTGGAAGGTGAGGCCTTAAATCTGCATAATAACCTTACCCTTGTTTACAATGCTCTAGTGGTAATCTCCTGTAACTGACTCCCCCCACCCCCAATATCCTCCTTTGTCATTGGTTGAACATGGTATTTAAGACAAGAATTTCTGCTATTGTGTTGAGAAACGCAGGGTCCCTGCTTTCTCCCATGTATACATGTTATTAAATTTGGTATCATTTTCTCCTGCTAACCTGTCTTGTTAATTATTTGGCCAGCCATAAGAACCTTAAGGGAAAGGGCAGAGGGGGATTCTCCCTCTCTTCCCACACCTTGATAGTACAGCGCCCTGTGTCAGAAACCCTCAGTCTCAAATTGACAGCTAGAAAAAAATACCTCTTGTCACTTTTTTACAGAATGGCTATTTATCATGATTATTAATTTAAAATAATATGTTTTTCCTGAAAATTGTTTTAGGGATTAAAAAAACTATGATGCTATTCTCTGAGCACATATTAGACAAAAAAACGACATAGAAGAGTTAGCCCAAAGTGTATTATAGATGGATTTCAGAATCTATGAGAACAATCTTCTGTTCTAGAGATTATTGACTTACAGAACAAAGAAACCCCGATCCTGGCGTAGTGTCCAATCCCAACAGAAGTCTGGCGATAGAAATCATATAATCTTTCACAAATGACTGCAACAGAAACAAAATATGCATTTATTATGTGTATGGAATGTATAGAATAGCCAAGTATGAACATCTTACCAGTTGTAAAAGGTTACTTCTCATAACACATCATTAGGTTTCCATAAAAAAGGAAATAAAAATTTATTTTGCCAGTACATGTACACTTAAGTTATCCATAAGGAAATTTGGGAAATGATTATTCTCTACAATATCCTGACATGCTTAAATTTTATGCATGCTATTAGACATAATAAAGCACTGTCAGATTTTTTTTAATAACAAAAAGCTATGAGTGGAAATAAAAGAGAATATTAAAGAAACTCAAAAGAACAAAAATTTGCAATGAAATAGTTCAACACTTTTTTAGGATTAAGCTCTATGATAGTAGAATAAATTTCTAATATTTAAGTAAATCTAAATATTAATGAATTAATAGTTTAGTATTAAATACTATCAGACTTTTTTTGTGCTAACATATCAGATATATTTTGATTTGTTGCTAGAGTACTACTCAATAGTTAGAGTATTAACTTAATGATACCTCCAATTTCTTCAATTTATTCTTAGCTCTGAGTGAAAGGAACAGCTCAACCAATACAAGCAAACTTCACCATGACATGTAACAATGATTTAATAAATTGTATGAAATGACTGCCTTGAGTTTGACCTCAAGTGTTAAAAAGCTAAAAGTTTAAATAACCATCTAGTTATTTTGCATAGCAAAGACTTTTAAAAAGTCGTAATTCCTTTAAATAAATCTACTAGACTACTTTGTTGATTACTAGTTTATTTTACCAACAGCTAGTTTCAGAAAAGTACACCCTTCTATCTAAAGGAGAACATAAGGAAACATGTCCATTACTTTTTTCAGGGCAAAGAAATGGCATTCTAATTTTCAAAGTATGTGAGTCTCCTAGTAGTTAGGACATGAAAACATTGGGAACCACCAGGAGGAGTTGTGACTGGCATCGTTAGAGAGCATAGTTCAACCTCATGCGTTAACTCATTGTGTGCTAAAGAAGAGGAATTTTTAAACAAATTCTCAGGCACTTTAAACTATTATTTTCCAAAACCAAAAACACAAAGTACTCATGGAAGAGAAAGTAAACTGAAGATTTGGCAAATGATGATTTTAAATTATTTTAAAGCCAGATGTGGTAATACAGCTAATTTGTTTACTATCTTAGTCACTAACACATGGCCCTTTGTTGTGTAACTTCATCAGGGCATAAACAAGACGTAGGAATGAGCCAAAAAGATGTAGACAGCCCTACTTGATAGCACCAAATCTGTGCATTAAATCTCACGCCATTCAATTGTAGAAGAATATTTTTCAGTTTCACTTAGTGTCTATTTAATTTCATTGTATATAATACTTATTTTTTTAATAATTAGTTTTCCATCTCAAAGATGAGATTTAGTAAAAACTATTAAAAATATAAGTGACCTGTGTTTTGAGTGGGAAGGAAAAACGGTACTACTGAGAAGATATAACAAAAGAAAATAACCTTCCAATAAGTTAAAAAAAAAAAAAAAGGGCCATAAGAAACTCCAACATTACACAAGTGTGGGATCATTTACCCCACTGATTGATAATACTGTCTATCACAGTTTTCTTTGGAGCAGCAAACGCAACGATGTCTAGGATAGAAGTATATTAATAGTAAATCACTACACAACTGTAGTCATTAATAATAGTTCTTGAATATATAATATAAACTTTTATCCTTAAGAAGATGGGCTTAAATCATTAACCAAAACAATTAGATGGTATTTAGCATATTTTAAGAATACAAGAATGTTTATTATATAACTTTAGGAATTATACATATAATTTCTAATATCTTTTTTTAACACATAAATGAATAGTCTCTACCTATCTAAAAAACAGAGGATTAAAATATCTCATTTAAAGTCAGGAAAAGGTAAATAGGCAGTTACTACTTTGGAAATTATTGTTCTAGTTCATTCTTGCTGCAGTAGCTTCAGAAAAAACACAACTTCCTGTATCTCTATTTATAAGAGAAAACACGGGGCAAAAATGAAGAGAAAGAAATAACTACTGCTTTCCCCTTCTGCCTAACAGTTTTCCTTCTATTTAGCTTATATATTAGACTTTCTCATGAAATTTTATTCAAACGAAAGATCCTGTTGTTAAAAAAACCACTGGTGCATAATGACATGCTATTGATATAAATCCTTCAGTTTCTGCATTTCTCTTCAAACAAGCCCTCCCCTCCAATCCTCTCTTTAAGAGATTAGAAGCACGTGTGTTTGGGATGAAAGCCCTGCCTCCTGGAGTGCCCAGATAATGTGTCTGGAAACTTTAGGGCAAACAGGAATGTTTATTCTCTTCTGTTGTGTTTGTTCCCGCACTCATCTGGCAGAGGCAGATGGTTCGTGACACTGCTAGAGGCATACTCACGGGCATAATTAGCCCCAAGCCCAGCAGAAAAGCTTTAACTAACTTTGGATTGCTTTATTCAGTCAAGCATTATAGAAAGGGGTACATAAAAGTTGTAATCAAAAAGAGAACAGGCACAACAAAATATTTGAATGCTTAACTTGAGATTAAAGTTATCAAATAATTTAAAGCCCTATGCATATCTTTTTTCTCTTAAATAAAAATATTTAGAAATTCACTTGAATCAGGAAATATGAAATATTCCTGCTGTTCAGTTTCTGGCAAAGTTTTAAAAAAAGATTAAAATGTATTTGTGTAAAATAACATGATGAACTTATGCAGTTATGATAAAATGACAATGTTAACTTTGGCATGCTGGAACAAACTAAATGGTTCTTAGTTGTTGTAAAATGTTTTCTTTGTTTTTCTAAAGTAGCCAATAATTAGTAGATGTTTAAAATGTCCTTGCTTTATCTGTTTATTGACATTAACTTGGTATCTTATTTAAAAAACAAAAGACTATGAAGAAGACTGTCTTTTTTTTTAGCCTAGTAATTTTTTCCCCTTAGTTTTTTTTGTTTGTTTGTTTTTTATTGTTTTTTTTTTTTGGTGAGGAAGAATAGCCCTGAGCTAACATCTGTTGCCAATCCTCCTCTTTCTGCGGAGGAAGATTGGCCCTGGACTAATATCTGTGTCCATCTCCCTCTATTTTATAATGTGGGATGCCTGCCACAGCGTGGCTTGACAGGCAGCGTGTAGGTCCCGGGATCTGAACCTGCGAACCCCTGGCCGCTGAAGCGGAATGTGTGAACGTAACCACTATACGACCAAGCTGGCCCCACCTTAGGTTTTTTTTCAGTTTAGTAATATGCCTAGAGTTATACACAAAATGTATTAAAATGTCACATTAAGCATTGTAGGACACTAGTGCCAAAGAGAATGCCTAAAAACTATTTCATAGATTATGCTAAAAAATGTTTTTCTTACAAAATGTTTCATGAGCACATTTATGTCATTAAATACATGAAATAAAATATTGAATTACTTCCAGAGCCAATTTTAAGTTAACAGTTCCATGAGAAATATTAGATGTATTATTCATTTAATAAAATCTAAATGAAATATAAAATAAACATTTTAGAGAGAAAAACAGAAATACAGCATACCTGATAGAGAAGCGTGTCCAACATGCTGATGCTAAACACCCTTCCAGCAGCAAAGGGCAGTCGAAACATAAAGGCCAAGTTAGAACCTCTCTCTCGCTCTTTCTGTTCAGAAATTTGAAACAGAAAAATTTGTGAGCATTTTATATTTTATGGCCTTTCTGCTTAGTTAAACTTTTCTGGCATGTGTGAAGAAAGACATTCTCATTATATGGTTCTTAGCTATGAATGTCGTCACTTCACTTACAATTATATTTTTAATATGTCCCTTTAATTTTCATAACCAAGTTTCCTTAATCAATTAAAATACCCAATACTTAAAACAGGTTAATCTATTCATCTGTTCATTAAATATTTATTTACTCTTCTTTTACCTTCAGGGTTTACACTGAAGGAAATAAACTGTCCTATCTCCACACGTCTGAATCCTATTGATAAGTATCATTTTATAAGCAAAATAGTAAACTTATTCCATTCATTATTAAAGGTTCCAATCAAACACTAACTCATTTATTAAATTAGTCACTTAATATGCATTGAGAGTCTATTCTGTGTAGGGCATTATCCTCGGTGGTAGGGACACAGAATTCCTAAATAGAACTAATAAATTCTGTTAATATAGAATTAGTATGTGTTGAATATGGCGAGGCACTAGTAAAGAAAGATGGATACTTCCCTTGCCTGCAAGAACTCACAAAACTGTGAGTGGTACCAGTAACGAAATAGGCAAAAACACCAAGGTAAGTATACGTAATGACACAGAGAGAGATGCTGTAGCAGCATGTAGGAAGCGCCTCTGGCTCACTCTTTTGGTGGAAAAGTGGAGAGGCTGAATTAGAAGTAATGTCTAAATTGAGACCCAAAATATGAGTAGAAATTAGCCAGTAAATTTGGGGAGGGTGGGTGATAAGTACAAAGCTATAAGCAGAAGGTCTAGCATATGCTAGAAGCTGGAAGAGGAAGAAGCTTGAAAGACTTGAAGAACTATAAGCAATTCTGTAAGAATAGAGTATGGAGTGTGAGTGTATGGGCTGGAGGAAGAGGGCAGAAATGAGACTGGACCGGTAACCATGAACTAGATGTTAAAGTACCAGGATGCATGAGAGCAAAGAGGATGCTATCAAGAATTCCACTGAAAAACAACGGTGTGAATTGAGACTGTCCCAGGAAAAACAGAACATATGCATACTGGTTTGAAACCATGTTAAGCATTTTGGACTGCATCTTAAGTGCAATGAGGGAAAACTAAAATATTTTTAAGAAGAGGAGTGATGCAATGAGTGAGTTTTAGAATACTCACTCTGATGACAATGTGGAAAATGGTTTGGGGATGGGGAGGTGGCATGGGGAGATTGAGCAAGATAAACTAGGGTGTTAAGGCAGCAATTCTAATGAAAAATGAAGGTACCGTTTGATGATAGTGAAAAATGTCAATACCATAATATTTGCAGAGACAGATCTTTTTCAAATTTATTTAGATATCAGATATTAAATTTGAGAGGATTTTTGACTGAACTTGGCAGTAAAGTAGAGAGAAGATGAGGATGATACCCAAGTTTCTGGACAAATGGGTGGGTAATGGTGCCCTTCTGTAAAAAAGAAAATGTAGAAGAAGAGCAGATCTGAAGTTAATTTGGACTCGAGTTTCAAGGTTAGCAGAAATGTCCAGTTGCTAAAAATACGGAACTGACAAATGTATAGCATACAGTGGTTTGAAGCTTGATTCTAGAAACACATATGAGGTTCTAGTTAAGTACTGCCACATCTAGTTGCATGACCTTGTACAAGTTACTTAAACTCTCTGTTTCCCAGGTCCATCACCTGTGAAATGGGATTCATATTGGTGACTACATCCCACTGTCATTATAATAACTAAACAAGATAAAACATCTAAAAGTACTGTATATAGTAAGCACTTAAATTATTATTATTAATTCTTTGAACATGCCAAATTATGCATCACCTCGAGGACTTCATATTGCTTGCTTTCTTCCTGTAAAGCTGCTTCCCAAGTTTTTACAGGGCTGGTGTGTCTAGTGTGATCATTGCAGCTCAAATGTGACCTCCCCAAAGAGACTTCGCTTTATGACCTTACTTAAAGTAGCCTTCCCTAGTTACTTTGGAATATAACCCTGTTATGACTTTCATAGCTCTTTTGAAATCTCTAATTCCTGGTTTCTCTTTTTATTCCTCAACTGTCTGAGCTAGACCACGTGTTCCAGGAGGGAGAGACCAGGCTTTCGCTTTCTGTTTCATAAACAATGCTGAACACAATGCCTGGCACACAGATGGTCAACGAAATTTTGTTGGACAAATGACTAAATCTGTTCTGCTTATGGTAGTGGCCCACATCAAAAGGAAAGTGATTGAAAAAAGTTTATAACATTCATATGAGGAAGCAAGAAACAAAAAAACCTGAGGTTCACTCAATGCTTCTCTCTTCTCACTTGGGGTCTTTAATGGAGGTTTGAAGATGTAAAGGGTGGCAATGTCCGCATTAGGCAAAGTTCTCTTAGCTTAGTATTTCCTTTGACTGTTGTGTTTTACAAAATACAATGATAAATATTTCTATGATTGCTTCTAGTACAAAAATATACTATATAGTCGTCCCCCCTTCTCCGTGGGGGATACTTTCCAAGACCCCCTGTGGATGTCTGAAACCTCAGATAATACCAAATCTTGTATATCCAATGTTTTTTCCTATACGTACAGACCTATGATAAAGTTTAATTTATAAATTAGGCACAGTAAGAGATTAATAACTTCTCTTTGGTGTATCCCGATTGCCAGCATCACTACTCTTGCACTTTGGGGCCATTATTAAGTAAAATAAGGGTTACTTGAACACAAGCACTGTGATACCGGAAAGTCAATCTGATAACCGGGACGGTTACTAAGTGACAACAGGCGGGCAGCGTCTACAGCGTGGATCCTCTGGACAAAGGAATGATTCACGTTCCAGGCAGGAACACAGCAGGAGTGTGCGATTTCATCTTGCTACTCAGGATAGTGCACAATTTAAAACATGAATTGTTTCTTTCTGGAATTTTTCATTTAATATTTTCAGATTAACCATTTGTGGTTGACTTTGGGGAACTGAAACCGCGGGAAGCAAAACCTTGGATAAGGGGTAACTACCGTAATTCCTTTTTTAAAAACATATCCTATTTCCTTCCTAGTAGAATTCTGCATTCAGTTGAAGTTTCAATGATGATTTTGTTTTTTCCTAGCAACAATTTATCTAAACATACCTAAAAGGAGTCTGAGACATCCAAATCATTATTAAAAGATCCCAGAGACTTTAATACACTTGGTCTTACCTATCTCCTCCATTTGGTTTGCTAATATGAACATGTGTCCTTGTTAGAAGAAGGAATTAATTTCTGGCAGAAATTTTATTTTCTCTAAACTGTGTCCATCCAATGCCATATGAAATGAGATGATAAAATTATTGGATTTAGCAGAACAGTGTGGGAGGTGAAACAATATCAAGAATTTTATCAGCATAAATTAATGATTGCCATCCCCGACTTTCTCGATGACAATTCTTCTACATGCCTTCGTTCTTCTGCCTGGATTCAACCACATTTTAATCCCCAAATCTAGTGGCTTTGCTCAGCATTCATCCTACTTGACCTTTTGTACAGTGTTTGACAGTTTTTTTCTTTTTTCCTCTCTTCCTCCCTCTCCCTACCCTAGTCCACCAACAGCTTTCAAATCTCGTTTCCAAATTCTCAGGCCCTTGGCAAACTAACCCATCCTTTTCTGCCCCCCAGGGAGGGGTCTTTTGAATTCAAGTACAGAAAATCCTCATATAAAATTAAAAAAAAAAATGCTTCAACCGGTTGCTAGGGTTTTGTGTATCCTTCTTATGGCTCTTTGCTAGAAAACAGACTCGTCTCTATGGAAACTACCACATCACAGCGGCTCAGAACAGCAGCTCTGAGACAGGCTGCCTCTTCCCAGAACAGGTTTCCTATCAGAGCCTCTCACTGCATTGTGTGCCTGGGAAGTGGGGAAGAGAGAGGCCCCTGGAGTCCTGGGTGGCTTTAAATCTTTCTCTCTCTTTCTTTCCCTTGTCATCCCTCTGTATAGCGAACAGAAGGAGGAGGCAATTTCAGTAATAAAGAGCATCTCTCTCTGTATTTCCACTTTTCTTCTTACCCTTTACCCATTAGGTTCTTCCCACACTCGTGCCCGCCTTCGAGCACGCGCGCGCGTGCAGCACCACACACACACACACACACACACACACACACTCTCTCTGTTCCAGTTAGATAAATGGTGCTTAGAGGGGGCGCATTTGATGGGGCACTCAGGGATCCGTCTTGTTTATAAGGACTCAAGACCAATTCAGGCCCGAGTTCCAAAATGCCCTTGAGTCAACCCAAGGCAAGTTCATCCTACGGGAGTTTAGGGTGTGAGGGACCCTCTTCCTTATCTTAGAGAGGAATGCAAGGTCATGTAGGCAAAGTTATTATTCTCCTACACTAAAATACAAGTAGTCCTTGCCTTATAAATAGGGTGATCATATAGTTTATCCTCCAAATCAGGATGTCTATGAGAGGAGCTCTTAGTAATTATACTGTGACAATAGCCATACACCAGGAGAGTCTGGGCAAACCAGGACCTTGACCACGCCATCTATAACTTAGGAATATGTGCTTTACAAACAAGACACACAAGAAAGTGGCTTCCTGTACCCTGTTCTTCCCTGAAGGCCCTCCTGCTCCTGAAAATTGAGAAATTTGGAAAATTGGAAGCTTTTGAAAAATATGTGGGTTCAGAAGTGAAGAAAAGAATGATGTTGAAGGATTAGAAGATCAATTTTCAAGAAGAAAGAGTCTTGTATATACAATATTTCATACACGTGTATCTGCAGATAAACATCTGCCAGGAATATCTGAGAATGCCTGTTTCCATACCCCTCACCAACACACGTCTTCTTACATCTTTTAAGCTGTGGTCTCTCCAATATTCTTTAGAATTATGTCATTTTTCTTATGTCTGGTCCCTCCTGCTCTGTTCACAGCCAGACTTTCGTCTCCTCAAAAATTCGGCGCTGACTTGATGAAGACAAACACAGTGACTGTAGACTGACACAA